CCATGCCTTTTGCACAAGGTGGCCCTGACCCCTCCTACAGGAGATCTGACCTTCTTGATCTCCCCAAATTTTAGTGCAGCTCTTGGATGACCCACCAATATTTTCAGCAGTGTAGCCACATGGGTCTCCCACTTAGGTCCTGGGAATCCAAGTCTAGTGCTTCATTACACTGCTGTCTACTGAAAAACCACTTCCTTCCAAGTTCAGCTGAGGTGCTAGCATCTCCATAAAACCTTCTTCATTTCCTCAAGCTGAAAGTGATCTCCCATTCCTCCAATATCCTTGGTATGCCTCCTTTACATTTAACACATTCTCCCTTGTCCTTAGTTATTTCAGTATACAACTTAACATCTACATAAACTCAGTAAGAGCAGGGACAGCTTCTTTCACCTCTGTATTCTCAATGCTTTACATATAGTAAGCATTTAATTAGTCTTTGCTGAATTAAATCATAAAATTTACAATTCAGATACTTTCTGACATAACTTTTAAAGTAGAGAACTTGCCAGCAAGTAGTCATTTTAATTTTAAAAAGCTATGAAGCACATCACATCCTGGAACATATTGGAATAAGATGATTAAAAAGGCTCACGAACCAAAACGGCTTGAATACCCTCTCCTGAACCATATAGCAAGGGACCCCAAATCCTACCAAAAGGATTTCCAAAAGCAGAATGGCTCTTCCATAGAGAAGGGCCTCTGAAAAAAGTTTCCAATCCAAGTGGCATGATACAATGTTACATATTTTGGAATATTAAATATATTACCTATAAAGTTAAGAAATGATATAATTAAATAAAAGAAAAATGTAATATCTATGGTTAGTCCTTCTAGGAAATGGCTATCTATACATTAATGTTATCTGTGATCTTATCAGTAAACCAAAACTGACCACTACTCATTCCTAACATTTTTAGTTTTATTGATATGTTTTGTTTTTACATTACAAACATCTACAGATTACCCAAACTCCAAGAGAGGTCTCTTGAACAAAGTAAGACAACTAAGTAAATTAAGTAGAACTAATAATACAGTGACCTTATCTGAAAGCAAATTCAACATTCCACATCTGTAGCAATACCCTCTTTTTTTTTGAATTGACAGAAAACCTTTCTTAAAGAGTCTTTCTGAAACAAGTAACTTCTTGGCACTGATTTTGCATTTTACCACACGTAAGTTCTGGCAATGGGTTGATTTACCAAATACCTGTTTAAAATCACATCTCTCCTATGATTATCTGTATCACTAACTAGCAAAAAATTCCTAACAGGTTTTAAAAATGCATATTTGTGAATGTCTATACATTTTCTAGTTCTCTCCTATTCAACTTAAATTCCTTTAGTCCTATGCCCAGTGATACTGTATTTACTATAGAGTCATGCACACAATACTTTCTGGGAGATTTTAAAACATCTAACAAAATAATAGTTATCAAAACAAGGTATCCTTAAAGTAATTAGGGAAAAAGAAATGTAAACAAAGGCCATTAATACAAATGACACATTCTTAAAAACCTAACAACATGAATGGACCAACAAAATGTCTATAGAAAAAGACAAAAAAAATTATACAAAGTTCTAACAGAATGCAAGCGAAATAAAGAAAAGCATGTAGATGTATCAATACATCTGATATCCAATACTATTAGTGTGAAAGTATCAATACTAAGAGGACAGATTTGTGGTTATAGCAGCAAAGAGTTTAACAAACTAAAAAAGGAAAGAAGAGAAAGAACTAATAGAACAATTAGCAAATTCAAAAGTGTATATGTTTATACACTTCAATCAAATCTATCTTAGATAAGAAAATTTTCCTTCGATGACCACCACGAGTATCCCTTAGTCAAATCAAATGGTGTTTAAATGTCAGAAGTTTTACCATTTTTTTTCAGTTTAATACTAGACTGACAAATTCAGCTCAACACTCTGATCATATGCTAAGCCTGGAAACAAAGATAAGGTCATAAGCCAGTAAATGATTAGCCTTAATAATATGAACTAACCCATAATTCAATAATTTTCATCAATACTCCCTACACTATATTTTGTCTCAGCCAAAATCAGACAGGTTGCTCTCACATTTTAAGGCATATGGAAATAAGGGGAAAGATAATTGTGTTCTAAACATAAATTCTTGGTAAGTATTTCAAGGCAATACAATTTCAAGTACAAGGTTACAGGGAATTCCACAAGTAACTTAGTTCTCACTACATTCTTGAAACAGAGAAGCCCCCCTTTAAAAAATACATGGATCTCTAAGTTAGAGCTTAAAGCTTCACAACAAAAAGATAAGCTCTGAGAGAAGTCTGAGACAACTTTTTTTGTTCATGAAGGTCCTCATTTACGCAATGAAAAACAAGTAGCCCAAACAACTGAATCTGAACTCCTCTTGATAAAAAATATATAAGCTTAAAAAAACCCTGGCAGCTATATGCTTTTTTAAAAATTAGATGAGAAAGCCATCACTACCATATTCAAAAATCAAACATGAAAATTAATAAATGCTACCAAGTCAAGTACTTTAGCAAAACTAGAGATCACAGAAATTCAAGAGACTAAAATTATTCCAAAAGGCCATGCACTTCTAAACATGGAAGTAAAATTGCTGAATATGAACTAAAGACTAAACAGTGTATTTAAAAAAAAAATCAAATTCCAGTTACTATCTGCAGGAGTTGCTATTACACAAGGAAAAAGGCTGTTCATAAAATCACAAAGGGATCAGCAAGCATCACCTTAATAAAATTCTCTATTAGTGGTCCATAAGAGCACTGCTTTGAAAAATTGCTACAATATCAATTCTTTTAAAAGGCTTATTTTAAGCTCATCGATTCCTGCTAAAACATTACATTTTCTATTACGTATTGGGCTTAGGTAGAGTTGGTAAGGATATTTCCAGTTAATCACAAATTGCCCATTCCCCACCAAAATCTGCCTCAACCAAATATTTAAAACTCGTTAGGGTAAATCCTGATAGAGCAACTTTGAATTATCCAAATGAAGAGAGGTGAGGAGAAATTTTAATAATTCAAGACTTCAATTTCCAAAAAATGTATGTGTTTGTAAAAACTGACAATTAATCCTCCCACTAACCACCAGGAGATTTGCCTGCACAATTATATTTGGACTAATATTAAAATGAAGTACATTCCCTCAATATACATCAATTGATAAACTAGCACATGAAAGGAACCACTATTATACTACAAACACAATGGGTGACTGAATAAACAAATTCAGGACTAAAAGTTTGCTAAAATGAGGAAAATATACGACATAGGTTGACTGTTCTAACATTCTGCTCTTGTAGCACTGTGTTATTATCTTTAAGTAAGCTGCAGGAATACTCATTCAAAAACAAATAAAAAGATGACAACATCTAGAAAGGTTTTGGCCAAAGTCAAAAACCAAAACAGCAGTCTTGACATTTAATTACTTGGTCTTTCTATAAACACCCTCACTCTTGCTTCATGGCATAAGCAAGGAAGTTTTAAATCTGATGAAAGTACCTAAAGATATACTCTTTTTAAGTACAGTTAACTATGTAACAATACACAAACCTAGCGTAAAAAAAAAAAAAATAGGGCTTAGTCCATTCGACCCAGAAAAAAAAAAAAGGAACTTCTTATACATTTCTCTATTCCAAGCTCTCTGGAGCCAAAGCTTGAATAAATCCATTGAGCTTTGAACTTTAAGGTAAGGCAAGGGAATAGAAACAACAATATTCCTAGTTTCCACATCTGAAAAATGGGGAAAGGACCTTTTTTAGAAAGCCAAGAAACATAGTGATATGAAGCCAAGTAACTAGTAGTTCATCCAAACATACAATATTTTCCTTATACAGCTCAACACAAACTGAAATTAAGCAAAATAATTATAATCCAAGAATTACACTGACCATTAACTATATCAAACACGAAAAGATTCTAAGATCTTTAAGGCACTTGAAGCTACAAGTTAAATACATTCATCAACTCTGAATTCAATTTTCACACATCCTCTCTCCTAAATACAAAATACCAGGGTTATGAGAACCACCAATCCAGCAGGGCCACTGAACCCATTTTACAGAACCTAGTTTAAACTAATCCCAGCAAACATATGGATTAAATTCTACCAGAGGCAACTGGAAAGGTCAGTTTTCGATAAGAATGACACCATCATCATCACCACCACTACCTCCTTAAAGCCCAACCGTACTTCCCTCACTTTCACTCTCCCAGACAAAGAATATAATCTGTAATAAAGTCGGGTATGATAGAAAAGAAGATAAAAGGAGTCTAAGAGACTGTGGCAGAAAAAACAGACAAGGGTTTTTGAGAGTGGAGGAATATAAAGATTGAAAATATTACACTGAAAAGAAGACGCTGACAGAGGAAAGGTGTAGGATATATTTTAGGCTGGGGGAATTTAAGTTCACTTCTTACTTTGGGGGTGGGGATAAGGGTGCAAAAGAGCCAGGGACTATGGCTCCCCAAATCTTAGTATGTATGGAAAAATTAAGCAAGCTAACGGGAAGGGGGGAGGGGGATGCAAAAACAACAGAATGATTAGATGTGACTGGCCAAAAGAGAGCTGGGAGGAGAGGGGAGGGGATTTGGTAAGAGTTAACAAGGTAACAGGGTGGGGTAGGCTGGGAGGGCAGAAGGTAGCAGCAGATAGAAAAGGGGACTGGGAGATAGGGGGAGACCAGTGGGCTGGCCTTGCAGAGGGGTCTGTGGCTGACGGGAGGGGGTGAGTGGCGTGGAGCCAACTGCGGAGGGAGGGTCTCAGAGGCACAAGGGCAAGGGGGGAAGTGACTTGTCAGAGCTGGTGCCAGGGTCCAAGGGAGGAAAGGCAAAGCCCAGGAGGCAGGTGCGCTGGGGCGGGCCGAAGGGAGACTAGGGTGGCCCAGACCAGAGCAGATCATCGGCGGGGGAGGCGGGCAGGTAGGCAGGCAGAGGAGGGTGGTGGGGGCCGGGGACGGGAGGCTGAGGGGGGCCCGCTCTCGGCTTCACTCACAGTCCAGGTGCTTTTTCTTGGGCCCCATGATCTCGTGGGTCGTGGCCTTGCATACTGTCTTGGAGACGGCCGAGCCGGTGACACTGTGCTGGGCGGCAGTGATCCGGTCAGTCAGGCTCTGTCCCGACATCTCGGTGGCGCTGCCTCCTCCGCCGCCCCTCCCGCTCCGCAGCCGGCGGGGACTGGGACCCCCAAGCGCCGGGGGACCCCCCCCCACCGCCGCCGCCGCCGCCGCACCCCCGGCCTGCCTGCCCACCTCCCAAGGGCTCCCTCCCCGCCTCCCGGCCTGGGGCGGGGCTCAGGGCCCGGCGCGGCCACCGCGAGCCCCGAGCGAACGGGCGGCTGTCACCCGCGGGGTCGTACACGGTCCGGGGCACTCCCCTGCCCCCGCCTCAGCTCAGCCCACCCCCTCTCTGGTCAGCTGGAGCCGGGCAGGGCGAGAGGGACAGGCAACTGCAGGAAAATGGCGGCGCCAGGCTCCTCCTCGGAGCTTTCCGGGCTGCCCCCGGATCACGTGACTCCGGCGCCGCCCCTCCCCCCTCCTCTCTTTTCCCCCCTCCTCTTCCCCCTTCACTTCTCTTTCCCTTCCCTTTCCTCTCTCGACTCCCCTCCCTGGAGCCCCAGAGAACAGCGGGGCGGGGATCACGCCGGATTACGTGACGGAACCCGCCCCGCGGGCTCAACAGGAGGCGGGGGGAGGATGCTGCTCGGATCGGCTGCATCACGTGATGCTCCCTGACAACAGGTCGCCTGAGGCTGGGCCTGTGAGAATTACAGTGGACTCGGAAGGCGGGGTAGGGGGAGGGGAGGAAAGAGGGAAGTGGAGGTGGCGCGCTGGGCCTAGGCAGGATCTCGCGCACGCACTTCCTCCTTCCCTCCCGCGCTTTCCCACTCTCTTTCGGGGGAAGTCAGGGAAATGGGCAGTGAGCTGTTGCTGCTGCCGCCGCAGCCCCTTCTGCCTTCACGAGGACGGGTTGTTTCGAAGAAGAACACTTTAAGGCACTCCCTAGATTTCCCTAAGAGAAGCAGGACCTAAAGTAGGTCTCCATTCCGTAGATTAGAGAAGCCCCCGTACCTATGGCAGACCAGGCGGTCATAGGGCCTTGCGCCCTGCTGCCAAAAGTGGGTGTCTCCCGCACCACTCCCATCTTAGCCCAGAAGGATTGTTTATTTTTCTCTGCATTGTTTTAAAACTTCACCTTTTATTCACCACCACCACCCCTTTGAAGCCTACCTAAATTTAGGCACCAAAGAGGCCAGTTTCTTTCTCCCTAGGGTGTCCCATAAGTCAGGAAACACATAGCTTTGTTGGAATGTAGAGAAGGAAGTGGTGGGGTGATGTCAGCAGTGATTACTTTGACCCTAGAAGGATGACTGCGGTGGTGATTAGACCTGACCAAAGAAGGAATGGAGTAGGAGGAGGTAGGACTAGCCATTGTCACTGTGGTTCTCTGTTACCCTTCCTAGGGGAAAAAATAAATTTTTATATGTGTAACTGTACATATATACATGTATACATGTATATGTGTGTATATATACATACACATATATAATCTTTGGGTCTATGTGCAGTGCCTGGTACATTACTAATCACGTAATAAATGCCTGTGGACTGATATTAGCCTTAAGTACCTTGTTGAAGGAAAGATACTTAAAAGGGATGAACCCTTAAAATTCTTGAGCTCTCTTCTATGAGATCCCAAGGTCCTCATGGGATACTAGGCTGTGGTCATATTTTTATTGTTGTTAAGTTCAAAGCAAATAAGACCCATGGCCACAAAACATTTCACCCATAAACCTGGAGCCCACTCGCTCACAAATAAAACATCAGTGGGAAGAGTGGGTAGGTATGTAGAGTACAGTACTAGAGAAGTGCACAAGTTGGGAACATGTGTGGTCAGGGCAACTCATACTTCTTCACTATGCATTTGGTAGGGCCCCACATTTAACTAAAAGGCATTTACAAATTTTGACTTACCAATGGATGTAATCTTGCTGTATTCTAATGAGATGAAGTCTATGTTCCCAATCTGCCCAGACTTCAGAATGCCATGTTTTAGACTGGTGACACTCAAGAGGTAGAAAGCTGGTAGAATTTGTGTACTGAAAACTTAATGTATCATATGAGAAATTTTGCAGAGTTCTCCCTATGCTGCACCTCACCTCCTTTTTGACAAAGATTATTCAACCTCTCCTGTACCACTGATCTGCTAAGAATGTACTGTTCAAACCAGTAGATAAAATCTGCGTGGAAGTGATATAAAATTGTACTCCCTAAAATATGTGATACTTTAATCCATCATCTCCGGTTCATTGATTACCTGAGTGATGGTTTGGTTTAACAGAATGTTAGTTAGCTCCTTGAGGGCAAAACAGTTTCTTTTTTGTCTTTGTAATCACAGAATACTATGCATATAGTAGGTGCTTAATAAATGTCTCCTGAAGTAAAAATTAAATCTGCCAAACCGTGACTTGTCTGTGGAATCAACTGGCAAAAGGAATGGTGTTCTTCAGGTGCAACTCTATCAAGTTCCTCTTTATCATTTCTACTCTTCTTGCAGGTTTCAAATTGCTGCCCTGTTCCATCTATGGGTTACACTGGACACATTTCAAATCAGCCTAAGCCTTTTATGGGGAAACACCCTAGCTAAGGTGAGATGGGAGGAACCATATTTTAGTTCTGCCAAATACATGATGTTTAATGCATAAGACAAATGTATGAGTTATCCTTTAGCGCAGAAAAGTATTCAAACTTTTATGTATTAGTGTGACTGACCTACTCTGGGAGAGCTCTGTGGTTCAATAGTCTCATATAAAAAAATGGAAAAAATATAACTGACTATATATATTATATATAATTTAAGGCTTGCAAAGTACTTAATGGACATTAACTCATTTGATCCTGACAATAACTCTTTGAGATGAGTTATAGGTATTATTATCCAATTTTACAGATATGGAAACTAAGGCTTAGAGAGATTGTGACTTACCCATGGTCATACAACTATTAAGCATCTGAATCTAAGTCCTGAATTGGAGTTAAGTAGTCTTCACAGTACATTAAATATCTATCTACTTCATTATGAAAAATATTGTCCATAGAGTCAAAAATTTTTAGAACTGGAACAAACTATAGCAATCTTTTAGTCCAACCTCCCTCGTTTTATAGATTAGAAGACAAACTCAGAAAGATGTACTTGTCTGTGGTCATATGATAAAAGTCAGATCCAGGATATGGTTCACCCAGGCATTTAAGATATGACAGGAAAGGAAAAGAAAAATGTGAAGATCTTGTGAAATAGGTACTTATTCTGCAGATTTTATAGGTGGCAAAACTGACCCTGGCCTTAAATTCTCGGTGTTGGAGGCAGCTCTTTAAGTAGCAGCGAAGATACAAGATGCAGATCTGCAGTGGCAGAGAAAGGTCCTCATTGAGACTTCTGTACTGATGAAATCACCATTCTTATCCAAAAATAGATGATAATACTAGAATTCAAACCCAGGCATTCTGACTCCAAAACCAGTGTTCTTTCCATTATACCATGGTAGTATTTATATGCTGTATTTTCACTGTAGTTTATTTCCTCTTCATGATTTTATTTTAGAAAGTCTCCACATTTGAAAGCAACCACTCAATGCAGATGTGGGCATGTGTTAAATTAAACTATTGCAAAATACACAAAAAGGAGAAAGATGGAAATAAAGGGACATAGGTGCCAAACATAAGCCTTACTAACCAAATCCACCTTCTATTACTAAGAATTTCTTTTGTTTCAATTTCCTTTATCTAGCCAATAAAACCCTTTGAAGTTGCTAAGTGAAGACCTATCACATCTAACCCTTCTTTCATGAAAACCACCCTAACAAACATACACAAGTATACTCATGCCTACCCTATAATTACATTAGGATATGTCTTCCTAGGGCATCATCCATTTTTTGGTAGTTGGTAAAATGCTGAATACCTAAATCTGTTTTGTTTGGGAAGACTTAGTGACCTGTGAATTAAGTGGTATAAGTATTATTGTCCTCATTTTATGGATAGAAGAAAATGAAGCTTGGACAAGTTCATTGATTAGCCCACAGTCACTAACTCACATCTAGGATACAGCTCTTACAACTAGTAAGATATAACAGTTTACGAACCTCCCCAACTCCAACCCAGTTAGTTAATAAAGTCAGAAAAGTGGGCTGAGTTTGGAAGTACTTCAGAAAAACAAGCTGACAGCTCATTTACATGTAGCATGTTGCACTTTACAAAGCACTTTATTCAACCTGTTGTTATTATCATTACATATTCTATTGAGATTGGTTTGTTGCTGAGAGAATCCCCATAGGAAAATGCAGGCCATCAAAATCACATCCACCCCCCCCCCACACCCAATGCCCCCATTTATACCACACATGAACTCTTCTGTGAATTCTCTGGAATTGCCTGGTTTGAATGAAATTGTTGTTGCTAAATCAGCAACACTGATTCCCAGGAAAGACGTCAGAGCCACTGGGAAGGTTCTGATGGCTTTGTAGAGCAATTAGTAGAGAGATCCAATAGAGGCAAGTACCCTGCTTGACTTGGGAAGTTGCTATTTATCACTCCAATAAAACCTGTTTGAGCTTTTGTTCCTGTACCATGCAGGATCTTTCAGCACTTTGCTCTGGAGGGAACATGAAGAGCCAGCCAGGGAGAGAGAGGTTTGATTTTCCTTCCTTTGGCTGGCTCTCTTCTCTGAAATGTCAATCTGCACTGGGCTTGGGAAGAGTTCAGTCGACACTGAGAACACTCTCTGGAGGCTGAAACTAGATGGTATCTTCAGTTTATACCTGACTTCTTCAATATCTAAAAGATCTGTAATTTTATCAGGTGCATCCTTCCACCAACCTGGAGCTTATGAAAGCAGCTTATTGCAATAAATAAATAGCTATATGTGGAGTCAAGAAGGCCAGAGTTCAAACACTGCCTTAGATGCTAGATGTATGACCCTGAGCAAGTCATTTAACCTCAGCTCCCATTTTCTCATTTGTAAAATGGGCTCATACATACCTCACAGGGTTGCCATGAGGAAAAAAATTTATGTAAAGCAATTCTCAAATCTTAAAACCCCATATAAATGTTAACTAGTCTTATGACTCCTCTATAAATATGTAGGTAAACTTCAAGGGTTAATATTCCTGAAAAATTCATCA